TTAGCCATTTAGTTGACTTCGGGCTTCACAGAAGGAAGGTCCATCAAAAAGTAGCAGAAGGTCGAGGGGTGAGGATCAGAAGAGCGATTCCCAGATGTAAAAGAGGCAGACAGACACAAAGGGAGGGAAACCGGTAAGATGAGTACTGTGAAGGGGTCGAATATGACAAGCAGTCGGGCCATGGTAGTTTGAGTCAACTGCCGGTTTATAGACTTTTTTGCCGTATGAGTAGGGTTGCCCAGGGTGCACCGCGTGGAGGTAAGTCTATCGCAACAACTGCCGGTTAATAGACTTTTTTGCCGTATGAGTATACGGTGCCCAGGGTGCACCACGTGGAGGTAAGTCTAAATATACATTGCCCAGGGTGCACCACGGAGGTAAGCCGAATGAGAATACGTTGCCCAGGGTGCACCACGTGGAGGTAAGGTGTGAGTGTACGTTGCCCAGGGTGCACCACGGACTCTTTTGCCGTGTATACGTTGCCCAGGGTGCACCAGTTTGTTTGCCGTATGAGTATACGTTGCCCAGGGTGCACCACGTGATAGACTTTTTTGCCGTATGAGTATACGTTGCCCAGGGTGCACCACGTGGCGGTAAGTCTATCGCACACCCCCTAATAATTATTATAATTGTTGACAATCGAATCCTCGACCCACTTTAAGTTGATGTCTCCCGATTGCTGGCATCTCTTAAGAATTCCTCCTGTCTGGACAATATAGGAGTTAAGGAAGCGCTGAATTCATTTCCCAATGTATAAGTTAATTTTACTCTTATTCAATGGCATGAGATAACGGTTTTTGACCAATAAAAGTACTCATGAATTATGAGATCATTGAATTGCAATAGTGTAACGTTTGTTGTTAAACGGCAAGTGAATCATTCCCCTGAATTACAAATTGGGGCAAAAAATGCGTCGATATCTCTCATGCAAAGGCCAAGAATTGACCAAGTAAACTTCTTCCGTTTGAATATATAATTTACGGCCTGTCTATCTGTCTGTCTATCCAAATTAATGCCATTGAGCTTCAATTGGTTTAAATAAAGGAAATATGGTAGGACAGAAGCTACTCTAAGAGAATACTACCACCAAGAAAACCGATCATGCTAGCATTTAGCATATAACCTAGCTAGCCATATGCAAAACTCAGGCCTGTAAATAACACAATTCAAAGGGGAAGCCGAGCTGGGAGTTGCATATTGGCAAGATCCGATCATAAAGGCGATATCTAGACTAGCGTTATCGTTTACAAATTGAGTGAGGTGATATATATATATGTATTCATATAGTCATTTACACTACAATCTTCTTAGTCTTTATTTTAATTTATCATGCACACTAATGATTCAAATAGCATTTGCTTACCTTATTCCTATATCATGCATTAGCAAATACTTACTTGCACTAATTTGCACTAATTTGTTCATATATCAAGTAGTTGCTGGAAGGAAAGGAATCTTTGTTTCGAGTGGTCAGAAACAGGCTTAATGCAAGATTAAGAGTCAATCTGATGTCATTAATAACCTCAAGGAAGGGATTTAGCAATGTAGGCTTCGGTTTCGTTTAGTCGGATCTCCATCAGCAAAGTACCAAGACATTTTTGAAACTACATGAAACATGATTTCAATAACCCAATAAAATCTCGGATTACATGAGTACGTGTTTTGGAATAAATTATTTGATTTTGAAATGAGGGCTAATATTTAAGCCTGTATCCACGTGATCTACTCAAATTACTCACCCTTTTAAGTTTCTACTGATGCAAGGTGGGGAATAAAATGAATTTGCTCTTTAATATACGCTAAAATTTCGACGAAATTTGCCCGCATTGTTTTTGAATTCGCAGCTAAAGCTTCATAATGTTTGAAAGTAACAAGAATTCAAAAATATTTATTTAGTTATTTATCATTTATCCCTTTAGTTGACTTCAGATTTCACAGAGGGGAAGGAACATCAGAGTGAATAAAATTCGAGAGGGGCGGAGAACAGAAGAGTGTTTCAAAGACGAAGGTAGAGAAAAGGTGAGGTGAGTACTGTGAAAGTGGTCGAATATGACACACAGTGGGGTCATGAAAGCTTGAAGTCAGAAGTCAACAGCCGGTTCATAGACTTTTTTGCCGTATGAGTATACGTTTCCCAGGGCACACCACGTGGAGATGTGTCTATCGTACACCTCGAATTCAAAAATATAGAAGTTTTAACAAGTGACTAAGTCAAACTATTACCTAAGTAAAGACGTATGATCAAAGCTTAGCTCTCCCCAAACTCGAATGACTTATTCAATTCTGTTGTGTTTCATCGGTTTATATTCTAAGTCGTAACCCTTAAATATAATTACCATAAGACTGTCTACTTATTCATTTTAAGCATCAATAATATTTTAAAATCAATGAAAATATATGGAATCTTAAGGTAAAATTAATTGTAACATCATGCAGTGGGATGATAGTAGTTAGAAGTCAGAAGTCAACTGGCAGTTAATAGACTTCTTTGCCCTATGAGTATACGTTGCCCAGGATGCACCACGTGGAGGTAAGTCTACCGCAATTTTTCTACCTTTGTGTCTGTCTCTTTTACATCTTTGAAACACTCTTCTGGCCCGCCCCCCTTCTCTCAGCTTTTGTCAATTTGATGTTTCTTCCCCTCTGTGAAGTCTGAAGTCAACTAAAGGGCTAATGATAAATATCAAAATGCCTGCCTTTTGATAGAAATATTTAAATAAATTGTAGTATCCACCGTTATCGTCATTATTAAATCAATTTTACAAACTCACTAAAATTAAAAAGCCGCCTTTATCAAGGTGTTAATTTATTAAATTACACCAATAAAACATGGTAACATAGACATACCAAGTGAGAGAAATAAGCAACTCAATATGTGATTATATTGAATTACCAATAGCCCCATAGATATAAGAAAATCGATATGTTTCATTTATTATTCCACAGTCAGCTGTCCGTATGACTAATGACAGCCACCTAAACAGTCACAACAACAAATACTGCCATATTTGAGCCATTCTTTCAAATAAATGGGGAAGCTGTATCCTGCCATTGATTTGATCTAAAAAGTTCCAATTTTTTAATTATTTGTTAGTCAAAAGAACATTTAACCGCTTCTAAAATACAACTCTCAGCAAATTGACAACATCTATTTACGATAAAAACATTTTGTGATGAACGTTATGACTCCTATCTCTTACCACTTTCAAAGACAATCCCGGTTTTATCGTTACTTTCCTATTCGGATTCAAGTAGCTAATTGAAGTTGCTCGTACCTTCTATTACATTAATAATATTAGTTAAGATTTCAAGAATTGACCTTGAGCGCTCTTTGTACTTTCAATTCTTCTTATTTATTTGACAGTGAGCCCGCTTGTACTAAAACAAAAAACGTCATTTTACGTTTTGATTAAATTTTTAAAGCTATAATTAAAGGAATTAATTTCAAATTGATATTTAAACATGTTGAGTATTATTTTTGGCAGACTAGCGTAGTTTGTGTTAGCTTAAATGCTACTCTTAACTGTTATATTTTCATTCTTAAATAAACAGCAAATCTAAGAGCTTACATTTTGAAGAAAGTGACAAAACAGATAAAGAATCAGCACATAAAAATGAGCATATGATAAAAATAGCTCCAATTTGATTCATTAAACCAAACATCAAAACCTTTTACCATTCAACGAAAAAACAGGCTGGACCATATTTGGTGCAGTCTGTTGTAAACTTCGCATGTGCATTGACGAAAGTTCTCCAAATTTGTAGAAGTAAACTTATATTGCTTTTACAATATATAAACACCATATTGTGACATTGATAATTCGAGATGATCACATTTTATCTCAATGTAGGTAATAATCATGCTCCGAGTGAGTCAAGCAAGCTAATTTATCATAATTGTCTACCTTGTCACACCCCGGCTTTCGATGAGCATAGAAAAAAAGCAGATGTGAACCTTGAAGAAATAAAATATATAAACCAACCTCTTCATGACGTTTTATCACTTCAGTCAAAAGCAAATCATGTCGGGGTAAGTTGTAGAAATTTGTGTGTTCGATTTCGTTAGATACAAACTTACAACCTGATAATCACTTTGCATTTTTATTAAAGAGAAGACGTTATCGACTGCCTAGTTGCCGAACTTGACAAAGACAAGTCTGGAACAGTCAGCGCCAAGGAACTAATGGAAGGTCTAGGTGATCTTGGAGTTGATGTGGATACTGTGAAGGCATTCATTAAGGATCACGATAAAAACGGTGACGGCCAACTGGATGCCAATGAAATAAAACAATTCTTTAAAAATCTGCTTTAATAATCATTCTTATATATATATAATAATAAATTTTTTAAATAACATTTTGTGCTCTTCAAAATACTCATTCAAAGGGTAGTCAGTTGAAAATATGGAATTTGAAAATAAAATTGATCAATAATTGATTGGAGGATTGAGACAACTAGCCAATTGGTAGTTTAATCGAGACTTGAGACAAACCATTTTGAAATGAAAATTACGTTAAATTGGAATTTTCCCGTTTAATTCATGCAGTAAAATCAATGAACTAGGGTACCATTCTAAAAAATTTTCTGAATTATGAATGAGTCGACTTTTTGGCTATTAATTACACCATAAAATTTTACAGATAGTTGTTACCTGAATTCCATTTTTACTAGATATTCAATGGTATTTTACTAATACGATATGCATTTACTTAAATTACAAATTTCATTGATAGCTATTTATACACGAAGTCTATAAAAAATATCGGCCTTTGTTAAGAAGTAATATGTAGTAAAGACTATCGTTAAAGTAATTTTGCCATACACAAAACTTTAAAAATATTTACTTGATACGTTTTACTAAGGTTTATATTTCATGTTCGGCTCAATAAAGCTTCTTTTATTTAGAAACGTGGCACTCTGTTGATGTTGCGCAATATGAGATAATAATGAGACGTTTTCTTGTATGATCTCAACAACTAGGGCTTAATCCTAACGTGTTTAATGTGCCTACTTTGACGCCTGAATCTGAAGAAATCAATACAGTTGAAATGGTTGCCTTAACTACATTTTAACACAGTGTGGAAGGATAGATGCATTTTTTGAGGTTCAGCCCGACACTGTCTACGTAGTCATGGAGATGACGGATCGCTGATCATTGATGCACGTATTTGGTAATGATGCTTGACGTTGGCCCCGGAAATTTTTCATGTAAAACTTTAATAAACTGAAACAAAGATAAGTTTCGCACATTAATTACCACTTTGGGCTTAAAAAGGGTTAAAAAGCGTAAGCTGGGATTATAAAATTTCATTTTATAAATATAAATCGATTAAAACGATCCTATTATTCCCAATTTAGTATGATTTTTCAATGGAAAAAAGACAATTAGCGATTAGCAACGTACTTTTCAATTTATGGTTGATTGTTCACAATAATTTACCCAATGAAACAGTAAAATGACAGTTATTTGAAGCAACTTGCTAAAAAAAACAAATTTTTTGCTATTTCAAGTTTACGTGTAAAAATTTAAGGGGCATTAGTGTGGATCGAAAGGAGTGGTTAGACAAAGTCTCTAAATGTCTACAAATATAATGACTTATTGATTAGGTTTTCATTACCAGTCATAATAATGAAAGGAAATCACCGTCGGGTAAATATTGTACATATTTTAGTATTTAATAGAATAAACTTTCAAACAATATTAATTTAATTACAAATTGCATTGTATTGTATTGTATTTTAGCATTCATCTTATTTTTGAAGAAGGTAGGTTTCTCTTCGCGAATATAAAAAGATTATATGCTACATTATACTATCTTACTGACTATTTAAAGTAGAAGAAAGTTTATTTGAGAAATTATCGATTTTTTTGCTTGCCTCAAATTCATTCCATTAATTAGTAATGTTGTTAAAGCCATCCATAAAACTTAAAAGACAAAAATCCTTAATTTAGAAGAAAGGAACTACTGAATTAATTAGATTGAATGGAAAATGTATTAATTTTTTATTCGTTTCACTGGTAATTTCTGACTGAATCTTCACTTAGACCATTGTGGATTGTTCAAATGCCTAAAAAAGCCTTATGGTAATGACTAATAAATACACTCGATAAAAGACTAGCTTTCACCTTTACAATACACTTGAGCCATTGACTGAATTTAATGAATTCCTATTTCTAAGTTAGTGTGTGGGTGTTGGCTGTTGACAGCACGTGCAAGTTTGTTAGATTTTGCAAACCACCTTAGACCAGCATCATCATTTCTACTACAATCTTACGATTTTGAAATGGTCTAATTAATGATAATGTTTTTTTACCATTTAATTTCTAATCATCCCGAGTAGAAATGCCAGAGAAACTCGTTTTTGAGCCTTCAAGTTTTGTAACCTAAAATTATAAGGAGCACACATGCATATGAAGAAAAAGATTTATCTTCAAGAGGAGGTGTGCATCCTCTAAATTCATCCAAAACTCAAGTTAATAAGACTTTACGTGATTTTACTGCCGCCTTTCAAGAGAAATCAAATCACGAGTGGTCTCTCTTCTCTACTATGCAAACTACCTTCATTTATTGATTTTATGTGTATTGCTTCTTTAACAATTTTATAAATAATTCAGTTTAATAAGCCACTTCATTTGAAAATAATTAACTGTACAAAATAAGGCTGCAATTTGTGCAGTGCTATTCATAATAAGGGATATTTAAAGGATATAAATGAAAGTGTAAAGATAGACAATAAATAACTTGATAATATTCCATTCAAAACCATGCCTACTGTAGGCTGAGTTAAATTTACCACGTAATGTTTCATCAGAATGTACACATCACGTGGGAATCAGTAGTTTTGGTGAATGTTAACTTTTAAAGCAAAAAAAATAATTATCATAAGCAGATACAGCACACAATAAGTTGTTTTGACCCTCACATTGAAGTTAAAACATTTCTTTGAAAATTTCTTTTAACAATTGCGTCTTCTTTCATCATAACAGAGGCCCATCTTTTAAATGAATAATATTCATTTTTGTCAACACAGAGTAAGTTATAGAATTAGTCAAAAGACCTGAAAATACAAGACGTTTAGTTGGTTGTTGTCAAAATACTAATAGTAGGCCTTAAGATGGTTATTAAGAGCCCTTTAGTTGACTTCGGGTTTCACAGATTTGAAGAACGTCGAGGGAGGGGGAGGGGGTGAGGGGAGGGACAGAAGAATGACGATAAAAGAGAAACAGACAGACACAAATGTATAGGGAAAAATGTAAGGTGAAAACTCTGGAATTTGTGCAATATGACATAGAGTGGGGTCATGGTAGTTTGAAGTCGTAAGTTTTTGAAGAATGCGGGCAAGCGGTGCGATAATTAATCGTGAATTTAAATTAAAATGTCAATTAATATTGCATGCGGTCTCCATATATGACCACTTATGACATGGATATATTTTTTTTAGCTGATGGAGTCACTAGTCTAAGCATTTATGCACTTTCGAATTTCTCCCTGTAACAATAAGAATTGTCTATAATGTGTATAATTCAAGCCTCATATGCAAAGCCGATGCCTGTTGCAAATTTTCCAACAAGCACATTTTCGTATCTTTCATTGAATTTTGAAACACTTTAACACCAACTTCTCTCTCATAATATTTATTTATTTATACCAATAACAAGCTTTTTGATAGTTATCATTAGCCCATATCTGACTTCAGGCTTCACAAAGGAGAAGGAACATCAAAGGGAAAAAAGTCGAGAGGGGGGGAGGGAGAACAGAAGAGTGTTTCAAAGACGAAGGTAGAAAAGGTAGAAAAAAGGTGCGGTGAGTACTGTGAAAGTCGTGGAATATGACATGTTAGTCATGTCATGTTAGTTTGAAGTCAGAGGTTAACAGCCGGTTTATAGACTTTTTGCCGCATGAGTATATGTTGCACAGGGTGCATCACCTGGAGGTAAGTCTATCACACACACCCCCTCTCATAACATCTGGTTCCTTCCAGCAAAGCTTTCTGCACCCATCTAATATTATCTTCATCGCATTGTGCGGTAAGGTTCGTTGCACACTGGACGAGTATTAGCCTGATCCAAACCCTCCATATTCTATATTTCAAAGATGTCTTT